GACCCAACTTAGTTACCTTGTCTCATTGTTTCTGGTGACCAGCTCCACCCTGAAAGTGCCCAGGAACTGCCAACTAGCAGCAACTCTTTAGCATATGAAAGACACTGTCACTTCAGGAGTTTAGGACAGAGCCCATATGTACTGTTCACAAAATCACAAGGTTGAATACAAAGGTGTCAGATTCAAAATACAAACAAGACAATAGAAGCACCAAAGAGAAATTTAATTAGATACTTGTAAGTTGTGCCTTAAAAACAAGTACAGGTGGAGCTTACAAGGCTAGATACTATACACAAAAGTTGTTTTGGATTTCAACATAAAAGCTGACTCCAGTATGATAATTATATTGTTTGGATCACCGAATGTGGGGGAGAAGGGACACCTGGGATATTCAATTGTTTTGAAAATGAAGAGCCATTGGGTGACTGTGATCTCTACCTTTTAATTTCAAGACCCTGCATTTCTTCGGTGGAATTCAGGTTCATATGAAGGACTTTAGTCAAAGTAAACATTACATCATGTAATTCGGTGCTGAGACAGAGTGAAACTCTGTGAAAGTTTCCGAGTGACTTGTAGGTGCTATGACAGTAGACTTTATGCCAAAGGCCCCATTGTTGCAACACTTTTGCCGTAACATGGCCCCCTGCTTTATTGCAATGTTACAGATTTCATGACATCAGAGTAAATATCTCCACAGGTCATAAGCAGTCTGGCCCAGTAGGGCTCTGCAGACATGAAATACAAAGCTAAACCCAGACCAGGCATTTATCTCTTTCAGAGTGAATCATCAATCCTCTCTTAGTGGAAAGGAATCGGTGTAGTCAAGCAAGTGGACCATCGGTCTTCTTGAGAAATGGGGGCATATCAAAGACTGAATACTGGTCCTTGTTGCTGGCAGGTTGGATACTCTGCAGCATAGTGACTGTAAGTAGTTGTCCCTTGTGAAGTCAATTCATGATCTCATCTCTACTACTAAGGTTGTTTTGCTCATTGTCACTATAAGTTAAGTGATGACAAAGGCTGGGTGCTATTTGTTTTTAGCATCTCTTCTTTGTAGATGTCTTCTGGCAAACATAGAAGTTCTACATAAATAGTTTCACACTTAGTATTCAGTTTTATGTGCCCTAGTTGATTTTATCAGTGTGACAAAACTACCTGACCTGTATGTCTTAGAGTTTGTGGCAATACCTTCCAGCATGGGAGAGGAGCCATGGTGGCAGGTACAGGCTGCCTACACTATCTTCACAGGCAGGAAGAAGGGAGCGAAGAACGCTGGTACTCAGGGGCTTTCTCCTTCTTATGCAGTCTAGGACCCAATCCCAGGGAATAGTGATGTCCACCATTCGGGAGGTCTGTATACTTCAATTAAATGAACATAGATCATCCCTTAGAGACTCATTCAGAGGTTTTTCTCAGTAGTAACTCTAGATCATCTCAAGTTGACAACAATATTAACCATCCATCATAGCCCCTGTCCCAGGAATCCTTGTCCCCAACATTTTAATCGTCCTTCTTTTATCTCTTGACATACCAGCCATGCCATTCACCATTTCCCATGAGCTAGATTACTTTCTAACTGTGGTCACTTCTATAACCACGCAAAGCAGGCAAGCATGCACACCACTCAAAGTCTTGCCTATAAGAAGACTTCTTCAAGGCCACTCTGAGGCATGCAGTAGTATAGTTGCATCCACTATCTCTCACATACCAAGCTGATTTATCTGTGAACTAAGCTTGTTTTGTTTTGTTTTGTTTTTGTTTTGTTTTGTTTTGTTTTTTGGTGGGGGAGTCCTCTGGGAACTAGTTTTAAGTGCTGTTCCGTGTAAACCTAGAGTGAGATGAAGAAGGGAAAAAGAGGTGCTGATGTCACAGTGGTGGGTGACACACTAGTCAGAGCCACCTTTTAATCCAGCTTGCTTGTGTCCTCTTGTCCTGGTGTTGTACCATCCTGGGTGGATTCCTACAAGGTCCTCCTGACTCACTAAGCTGAGTAATCCAATTTATGATGAGCAGTTCTGGCTGAAATAACTTCAAATATGATGAGTAGTTCTGGACAGCTGGTATTCCATGTTCAGACACTCAATCAGGGCTCAGAAATGTCTTAGAAGTTTTTCTTTTTTTTCACAGAGGTTAAATGTTCCACTGTGGCTGAGACAGCCCCTGATACATGATCCAGGGGATCTGCATTTGATTGTCTGTGTGGATCTTGTTGTAAGCATCATTTCCCATCACTGCTCTCAGGAGGTGTAATGTTATAGGTTCTGGGAGGTTATATGACCCAAGTCCCAGGATGATTTGCACTACAACCTTTTTTGCTTAGACCCCACACTAAGTAAGTGCTTCTTTCATTCACAAAACACAGACTAGAGCTGAGGAGTATGGCTCAGTTGGGGCACAACTTTGTGAGTGTGCATAAAGTCCAGGCCCACATAAAACCAGGCATAGTGATGTATACCTGATAATCTCAGAACCTGGGAGGCAGAGGTAGGGGTGGTTAAAATTTCAAGATCACACAGGGTGTTGGTGGCACATGTCTTTAATTCCAGCACTTGGGAGGCAGAGGCAGGCAGATCTCTGTGAGTTTGAGGCCAGCCTGGTCTAACAGAGAGAGTGCCAGGATAGGCTCCAAAGCTACACAGAGAAACCCTGTCTCAAAAAAAAAAAAAAATCAAGGTCACTTTAGGTACACAGCAAGTTCAAGTTCAGCCTGATGCATGAAACCTTTACCAGACCAAACCAAAACAGGCAAGTCCATGGCTTGAACACTGTTCTCAGGTGTGGAATATACTGAGTCCATTAATGGAACAGACCTACTGGTCAGTTTGCTTCCCTGTTCATGGTGCAAGGTGCAATCAGTTTTTGGATTTGTGACTATTCCCTCACCACCTGATCCCTAAAAGTTACCAATGTTATAGTCTCCTAAATCATGATGGGTCTCATCTTCCATATACTAGAGGGCAGACATATGGCCAGTTTTTGTCTATGAAATTGGTCATGAAATTGGTGATGAAGTAGACGAACATGACGCTGGGGAAGGAGTCCATGATTCTATGATTTATTCCCTGAGAGTGAAAACTGTCGTGACATTCTTGTTAGAGAGGTAGAAAATAATGCATTTGCTAAGTCATCAGTGAAGCATCATAAACTGAAACAGTGTTCATCTCCTCAAGCAAGTTTGCCACATCTGCCACCTCAACTGCAAGTTAGTACTGTGGCTTGGTTGAATGTGTACTAACTCACTATGTCTTCTAGGGTCCCAATGGCTTTTGATGAGGCCAGACTGGAGAATCAAGTGTAGCTTTAACCTTGAGGCTAGTGCATTTCTCTCATCCTCTTGGGATTCAAGATTGACTTTGACTATTTAGGAGGCAATTTCAGGGATTTCTTTTTTCTTTCCTTATAATGATAACCCTTATCCCACATGCTAATATGAGGTTGTACCAACCACCAAGTATATCTTTCCCAAAATTACACATTCAGGGACAGAGGAAATGACTATGGGGCCTGTAGGCCCATTTCCTGGACCTTGGCCCACACTCCATTTATGACTTCCTCTACTGCTGTGGCCTGAATGTTTGTGTGCCTCCATTGCTCATTTGTTGAAACCTAAACATTGAAGTGGTAGCGTTAAGATATAGAGCCTTTAAGAGGTGATAGGACAAAGGGATAAAGCCCTCCTGATAGAATTAGTGACCAAAGAAGCACAAGAAAACTTGTTTGTCCCTCTGTCATATGAGAACTTACAAGAAAGAAACATCTATGTGGGGCCTTACCAGATATTAAATCTACCAGCACGTTAATCTTAATCTTGACTTTTCAGCATCCAGAAGTGTAAAAACATATTTTTATTGTTTATAAATATCCTAGCATATATATACACATATATATTCATATATATATGACATGTGTGCTATAGCAGCATAAATGCCCCAATACCTGTACATTTTTATATTTTCATTATTTAAAACTATTTTTAAATTTAAATATATTTTGATCATATTCTTCTCCTCCCCCAAGTCCTTCCAGATCCTCTCCCCCTCCCTACCTACCCAACTTTAAGTTATTTCTCAAAAAACAAACACAAACCAAATACAACAAAACTCCACAAAACCAAGAAAACAAAACACTACCCCACCCAAAACAACAAAAACAAACCACCAAACTGTAACCAAACAAAACCACACAAAAATACTGTGGAGTCCACTATATGTTGGTCAATTACTCCTGAACATGAGATCTGCCCTGGAGTGGTTGATATACCCAGTATCACTCCATTGGAGAAAATTTTCCCTCTCCCAAAAGGTATAAAAGACAGTTCAGTTGTTAATTTTTACCTTGGTAGCAAGGTTTTTGTTCATTCATTCATTCATTCATTCATTCATTCATTTACTCATTTTTTATTATAACAAAATAAAATATAACAACACAAAACAAAAACTATCACATCAAAGTTGGACAAAACAAACCAACAGAAGGAAAAGAGCCCAAGAGAAGACACAAGAATCAGAGATTCACTCATTCACACTCAGAAATCATATGAAAACACTAAACTGTTAGCCATAATATAAACACAGAGGACCTGGTGCAGACCAATGCAGGCCCTGTGTATGCTGCTCCAGTCTCTGTGAGCTCATATGAGCTTTGATTTAGAAGGCCTTTCCCGCCTTGGTGTCCTCCATCCTATTCCTAATACAGTGGAAACTTCCTAAATACACACATATACAAAGGTGATCTAAATGAAATTGCCAAATAATAGGGGAGTCCCTGTTACGATAAATCTTTCTGCCAAAAGTCACTTGAGCCCCACTGCCACGTGTGAGCTTTATGTCAGCCGCCCCCACCCGAGTTAGGCCCAAATGAATACACAGAAATTTGTATTAGGTACAATGCTGCTTGGCCAATGACTAGGATTCCTCATTTGTTAGCTGTCTTAATTATCATAAATCTATATATTTTATAAGACTTATCTTATCAGACATCTTATTGGCGTCCCTCCTTACCAGTGGATCACATCATGCCGCTGGAGCAGGAGCAGAGGGGAAAAGAGAGGGCCCTTCCTGTTTCTCCTTTGCTTAAATATGAGTCTCCTTGCTATGTCACTTCCTGCCTGGATCATCACTTCTCTACTACATTTCCCAGAATCCTCTTTGACTCCTAGTCCCATCTACTTGCTGTCTCATTGGCCAAACAGTATTTTATTTAACAATCAATAAGATACACAGTACATTCCCCATCAAGTCCTATCTGGCCATCTCTTGTCACCAAATGAAACTTCCAGGAACAGGATTGGGCTACATCTATCACCTGTATATTCTTACAGTGATGAGTACCATAAAGGTATGTGGGGACTCAGACCTTAAATCTAACAATTCTCAAAATTTGGGGCATTCCCCTTTCCCTAGTGTAAAACCACCCAGTTAAATGTCTGCAGTCTCTTTGAGGAGGTACTTACAGAATCATCACTGCACATTCACCGGGGTTATTGCAAAGTCCTCCTTACTTTCATTTTTAAGATCCTAGACCCCAAAACTGGCTCAAGTTTGGAAACTGAGTGAGGTCATACTTTCTTGCAGGGGTAACTTCTTTTAGGCTCCCGATCATACACTGTTGGCTCTGATTGTACAAGTAGGATTTAACTCTTATTTAATATCCATCTATTTTGCTTCATTGTGATTAATGATTTTATGTGTCAGCTGGGTGGGCCACAATGCTTAGATATTTCATCAAACATGGCTGTTTCTATGAAGGCATTGCAGGATGTGTTTAACATCAAAATCAGTGGACCATAATAAAGACATTTTCCCACCATAATGTGGGTAGGCCTTATCTGATAGAAGGCCTAAAAAGAGCCGAGACTGCCCTTCCCCCCAAAACAAGAAGTAATTCTGCCAGCAGCCTGTTATATACACTCAAATTTTAACTCTTCAGACTGCTGGATTATCCTGTAGATTCCAGATTTAGGAGCATGGGATGATGCTCATAAAAAGAAATATTTTTCTGTCCCTATATACATCCTTCAGGTTCTGCCTCTCAAGGGCTCCCTAACTGCCCCCTGTTCTATCGGCTACCTCTGTGACCCCTTGAGAAGTTTGCCTTGGCCACCAATCAAGGTTATCATTCATTACAATAATTGAATCCATTGTTATTATGTGATTTCTGAGAGTTACATGCTAGTATCTCAACAGTGTTATTTGGGAAGTAGGCAACCTCATTGTTGTTAGTGAAGCTGGTTCTTCTCTGTCCTCTTTTACCCTCAGGCTTGGCCAGGGAGCAGCCATTGTGAAATGTCTTAATGATAGGGTACTCTTCACAATAATGTATTCCTCTTGGCTTTGTTAAAGGTTTATGTTAGTCTTTTGGGGCTGTTCTAACAGTCATCAGCTAGGTAGCTTATAAGCAGACATTTATTTTTTTACAGTTCTTGATTTCCAAGATTAAGACAGGCAGGCTGTTAGGTGAGAGACATTTTTTAAACGGCAGTGTTTTCACTGTGTCTTCACGCAGAGAAAAATATGAACAAGCTCCCTGTCCTTAGTTAGGGTTTCTATTGATGTGAAGAGACAACATGACCACAGCAACTCATAAAGGAAAACATTTCATTTGGGCTGGCTTACAGGTTCAGAGATTTAGTTCATTGTCATCATGGCGAGAAGCATGGAGGCACCCAGGTAGACATGGTGCTGGAGAAGGAGTTGAGAGTTCTACATCTGGATCAGCAGGCAGCAGGGAGAGAGAGAGACACTGGGCCTGGCTTGAACACTTGAAACCTCAAAGCTCATCCCCAGTGACAAACTTCCTCTAAAAAGCCCATACCTACTCCCACAAGGCTATGCCTCCTAATAGTGCCACTCCCTGTGAGCTTATTGGAACCATTTCCATCCAAACCACTATACTACTCAGGGCTCTCTGAAAGGACACTGCTCTCATTTATGAGGGCTCCACATTCATGATATAATCACCTTCTAAGGACCTATCTCCTAATACTGTTGTCATGAGGTTACGATTTCAGCACATGAACATTGGAGGAGTGTCACATGACTTGTCTGATATGATGTAAGAAAACATGTACTTACCCCAAATAAGGCACTGACCTATCAAATAAAGTATTCTGTCAAACCAAGGCTGATGAATCAATGAGTTTGCTATGGTTACTTACAAGAAAATAGGCAGGTGACTCAATTGCAGCATCAATACCAGGAAGTTCCTTGAACAACTTACTGGCGTCTACACTGATGCATATCCCTACTGCTTCTCCATGACTCACAAAAAGCTGTTTGATTGAAAAGTCCCTTGTGAGCAGCTAAACTTCTGTAGGCCATCTTTTATTTTTATTTTTATTTTTGTTTTCTTTTCTTTTTTTCTCTCCATTTTTTATTTAAATTAGAAACAAGATTATTTTACATGTCAATCCCAGGTCCCTCTGTGTGCCCCCCCCAACTAACACCCTACCTATCCCATACCCTTTCTGCTCCCCAGGGAAGGTGAGGCCTTCCATAGGGGGTCTTCAGACTCTGTCATATCCTTTGGGATAGGGCCTGGAATGGGCTCCCAAAGTCCATTCCTATGCTAAGGATAAGTACTGATCTACTACAAAAGGCCCCATAGATTTCCCAGGTCTTCTCACTGACACCCACATTCATGGGGTCTGGTTTCCCAGCTATCAGTCTGGAAACCAAGAGTTCCCCCTTGTTCAGGTCAGCTGTTTCTGTGGGTTTTACCAGCCTGTAGACCATCTTTTATACAACTGGGGAAGAGGATGAGCCTTGTGAAATCTGAAGGCACGTGAATCTTTGTTCATTACCGTTAAGCAACAGGACAGAATGAGTTAACATGAATTAGACTCTTTCTACTATATAAAGAAATATGGGATAAATTATCACTCAGAGCCAATGCACTACCAAAGCAGTAGTTGAAAGCTGATGTGTGGGCAGCCAATGGAGTGTAGCATAGGAGCCTATGGTATGAAGGCCATGATTCTAACTACCAATGGGAGCAGGAGCTATGATGGTCATACAAAATAGGAAGCCAGAATTTATCCTTTTGTAAAGTGCTCAAACTTAGGAGCTGCTTCGATAGTTCAAGAAAAATGAAAAATTGACATATCATTTCTCAACCCATTCTCTGAGACTAAACCATGCAAAGATATTAATAAAAAAGAAAACTAAACACCAATATCCCTCGTGCACACAAAAAATCATAGCAACTCTAACCTGGTTATGTATGGAATGAACAAAATACCATGACTAAGTGACGGTTAATACAGATTTACAAGATGGGTCACATATTTGCAAATTAACCAACGTGCTGTAACAAAATCATTGTCAAACATAAAAGAAAAGCCATATTATCATTTTAGTAAATACATAAGAAGTTTGTGACCAAAGCTTATATTCATCCATGATAAAAACCGTCAGCAAGCAAGGAACAGAAGCAAACTTATTCAAACCCATAAAGTCAATCTAGAAAAACTTAGTTAACATTACATGTAATGGAGAAAGACTAAGTGTTCCCCCTAATATTAATAATGTCCATTTTCTCCAATACTATTCAACATAGAAAGGGAAGTTTCAGGCAATAACTAGGAAAGAAACTTATACTACAACTGATTAAAATGCAGAGTTGTGAAGCCCAGTCCCAAATGGATACATCTACAACACAGCTCCTTCATCGATGGCTCAGGGATCATTTCTAAGAAGAGGTGGGAAGATTATAGGAGCTAGAGGAACAGGGAATTTGCTATGGGACTGGGTCTCCTAGAAGTGTCAGAAGGTACACCCACAAAGGCTCACCAGCATAACTGCTTGATCAAGCATGACACCAGCAGACAAACTAACATGGAAGGGGCAAAGCTCAGGAGGCCTCAGTCCTACACAAAGAACTACAAGCATCTAAAGACTACTCAGAGCAGTAAAATAGTCTTTCCCAGAGAAGAGCACAGCAATTGCTGATACCAAAGGTCAGCCCTGGAAACATACATACAAGTAATAGTCTATGAATGCAGCAGGTTGTGTTTATGTAGTTAGGAATGTGTGTGTGTGTGTGTGTGTGTGTGTGTGTGTGTGTGTGTGTACATATGTTCATGCAATTTAAAAAACAGGCCATGAATTAGAAGGAGAGTAAGGAGGCATGCATGGGACAGCTTGAAGGGAGAAAAGATATAATCATATTATAATCTCAAAAAAACTTTTAAAGAAAACTAACTGTCCTGTCACACAAGAAAAATCAGTAAGTCATGTAGATTGGAAAGGAAGATGAAAAACTGTTTACTTGTAGATGACTTGATTGCCTGCATGGAAAATCAATACAGTTGACAATGGAATAAAGTCATATAGCAAGGCTTACATGTAAAAGGTCTCAATGCCAAAATTATGTTTCTGCAATTAATAAAAATAATTGGGAATTAAAGTTATATTTTAAAAATGGCATTTACAATAGTATCAAAATAACAGTAATTTAACAAAACATACGTGCAACCTACTTAATGACACCTATTAAACACTGCTGAAATTTAACATCTAAAAACCACGGGAATATATACTACGTACATAAATCTTTAGGCTCAATATTGTGTCAAGTGTCTCCAAATTATTCTACCCATCTAGCATAATCAAATAAAAATTCCAGTGAAGACTTTTGTACAAATAAATCTCAGGATTCTTGCTTTTAGAACATTAAAGGTAACTATTAAAAGCACATTTACAACTTCCAAATCAATAGAAACTATAAGTGAAAAGTTAGAACAAATCTCAACCCAAAGAAGTTTGAAAAAGAAACCTCAAAAAGGAAATAATCACTGTTTTAGAAAGTTGACCCAAACTTAAATGGTTAAAGCAAATTTGAATATACTGACAGTCCCAATAAGATCTAGTAGATTAAATGTAATGGTTCAAAATCAGTAATTCTCATATTGGGTTTAAAAAAACAAACCCCAGTAACTTGATTTTCAAAGTGATTATTAAAACATAACTACATAGAAAGTTTGAAAGTAAAAGAAGAGACAAAACATACCAGACAAATTGTAAATAAAACTATGATGAAATGGTCATATCTAC